CTATCTTTTATTGTGTTATTTTTTGAGCGGGCTATACCTAAATTGGGAGGAACAATATGTGTATTCTTTTGTAACTCTGCATTTCTTTTAGGAAGCATATAGGGTATGTTTTAAAGCAGTGACATGTTTTGATATTTTCAGGTTAATTTTTTAACTGCATTAGAAAACTGACGGTTTGATTAATGTTTACTGAAGTGAATGGCAGCAGATACAGTAATCTCATGTCCAGTATCATCAGGATGTGTGCTTTTCCAGATAAAACTACATGCTTCTATTATCTAGAAAAATCATTTAAGTACCAAGATTTTAGTGAAGATGTCCTTTTTACTGAGCATATGCAATGTAATTTAGCTCTTTGTTTTCCGTGTAGGTTTGTCACTGTTATGTTGTAATATTGATGTCCTAGGGGAGCCGCAGCTGTGCTTGCCTCTTGCCCCTCCTCTTCCTTCCAAATCTGTAGGATTTTTTTTTTTTGGTTAGGAAGATTAGCCCTGAGCTAACATCCGATGCCAGTCCTTCTCTTTTTGCTGAGGACGATTGGCCCTGAGCTACCATCCATGCCCATATTCCTCTACTTTATGTGGGACGCCGCCACAGCATGGCTTGAGAAGCGGTGCGTCGCACCGGGGATCTGAACCTGCGAACCCCGGGCCATTGCAGTGGAGCATGCGCACTTAACCGCTATGCCACCGGGCCAGCCCCTGTGTAGGTTTTTTTTAATCCTCTATGGTTTTAGAGATTAGTTAGAATTAGGCCTAATGTAGAAACATATATGTAAGAAGAGTACCCTTGTTATGAGTCATGGTCTTTGTAGCATTTATTTGGCTATTTAGAGATTCTTTCAGCCCTTACCTGTTTCCTCTACCCACCCCACTGCCCTTGAGTTGTAATTGTTGGATAGATGATTTTAGGAGAATTGAAGCTTTTTTTCTTATGATGTTATGATTTACTTTTATTCCATGTAATAGGGAAAACTGGATATTTGCTATGTAGTATTTGTAGTAAAATAGGTATCACCTAAATCAAGAAGTATTTACTGTTTTTTGTGAAAAGTATATGGATTATATTCTTGTATTTTGTTTTTACAGCTTAAGTGCTGTGTATATATTTCATCAAGAGGTATATACTTTTTGAATTTGAATATATTGGTATGTGTAATTTGCTGGTTCCAACTGATTTAGTATATGTTTGAAGTATTGAGTTATTAAAATAGAAACTTTTGTTAAATGCTGTATAATTGAAAGTTATATTACAATGTATTTTAAAATTCAAATTACTTGCACAAAGATATTTTGATGACTTCAGTTGAATTTTTAAAATTTAATTTTAAATTTAAATATATTTGTATCTTATTGGAGTATCAGAATATTGTCTTTAATATTTGGAGAATAAATGTTTTTGAAGAAAATTGCTGTTTTGTTTTAAACATGATAGCTAAGTATACATAGTTTTTATAAAGACCATACTTTCCAGTAGAATTTACCTGTGGTTTTAATAGTGGACAAACAGGATGTCCTTTACAGTTTCAGTACATTTTGGTAAAGAGGGAAAGAGACTTGTACTTTTATTATGGCAAATTATGTGTGTATGTGAATTTTACTTATAAAATATATGTATTTTGCATTTTGCGATGAGGTGACAAGAACTAACTATAAATATCCAAATACGATATTTAAGATTATAATCCAACAAGTAGAGTCTGTATTACTTGACTCTTTAAAATTCAGCTTCTTCCAAATATCCTTTGAAATTTTTATGAATTTTAATAGGAACATACTTTAAAAAAATCATCAAAAGATATAGCTTCTTTTTAGGTAGTCTCAAAATAGACATTGGAGAGGGGAAGAAAAATCAAGTTTGTTCTAATTTATTTACTCTGTTATGTTAAAGTTTTTAATATTTACGTCTGTACTAGTTTAGACGTTTCACTTTATTTTATTTTTAAACAAAGAATAACACTTGCAAACTTGGAAATTAATGTAAAGGTGTAATTTGAATGAAATAAGATGGTTTGGTCAGTAATGTTCTCTTCAATCAATAAAATAATCATTCTAAGCTAAAATAGCAACAGCTGGTTAAATCAAAGTTAGTCAAGTACTTAAGTTATAAGATAAAACATCATTTGTCTTTAGTATTAGCACCCAAGAAGCTTTACCCATTTTTTCTCTTACTAAATGCTGCATGTTTTTGCTTAACATTTAAACAAATTTTACTCTGAGGGCTGAATGTTAAATTTGTTAATAATTCTGGTTTTCTGATTATTAATTGTATTTATCCTTCTTCTCTATAGTTTAATAATGTTATATAAGAGTTTTGGTTTTTTGTTTTTTGTAGAATGGAAATAGTTATTGCATGGCAACTGCTAGGTAGAATTCAAAAAACTATTTTAATTATTTGAGAAATGAATAATTTCATGTATAGTATGACTTGTTTTTACCAACTAGATAAATTGACTATTAAAATTTCAGACTTATATTTCCTCATAGAAGATTGTCTCTAACTCCTAAATCTCTTCTAACATTCACATCAGAGAGCATTCTTTCTTTATTGGTGTATCTTTTGTATGCATGTATTTAATTCTTGTATATACTCTCTTGGAAAAAAGTCCAGTGGACTATCCATCCATTTGACTTTTGCTTTAAAAGTATGTTCAAAGTACCCATTTCTTTGAGAGCACTCATAAATTGAGTTGTGCTTAGTATTTTAGAAGAATTCTCTCACTGAAAAGTCCTCTCTGTCCAAATTATTTAGTTGACCATTGAGTCACTACCCAAATTATTCAACTGATCATTGTTGATATTGTGATGTAGTAGAATGAACCAGCTGGGTGGTAAGGACTTATTTGATTTTGGCTTTGTTAGAACTAGTTAATGATTTAGATGAGTTAGCAGAATTAAACAAGATAAGGAAATTTGAGGCACATAAAATTTACTTATTTGTATGAAGTGGAAATATTACCTTCCAAATATGACTTTTTTTTTTTTTTTTTTTTTGGTGAGGAAGATCAGCCCTGAGCTAACATCTGTTGCCAATCCTCCTCTTTTTGCCGAGGAAGGTTGGCCCTGGGCTAACATCTCTGCCCATCTTCGTCTGCTTTATATGTGGGATGCCTGCCACAGCATGGCTTGATAAGCGGTGCATAGGTCCACACCTGGGATCCGAACCTGCAAACCCTCAGCTGCCGAAGCAGAGAGCACAAACTTAACCACTACACCACCTGGCTGGCCCCCCAAATGTGACTTTTGAAAGTCAAATGAAATATTTCAAAGCACTTGGAAAATTTGTTTTACAGTATAAGTTGTTTGATTTCACTGAATGGCCATGAGGTCTCTTGAAACTCATATGATCATTTGTAAACCCAAAACTGAAGCCACAAACTAAGAATCACCTAATAGAATTGACGTGTTATGTCTATTCTGGTAAATTTGTTAAATTTCAAATTGATATCCATTATCTTTGTTAGACTGCATTACAGAAATGCATACTGATGACTAATTTTCCTATTATGGTGCTGTTAGTTCATCTAAACATCTAGAGCCTACTAAAGACTTGTAGAATCAGATTTTAACTTTTAGCCTCTCAGTATAGGAAATGCTAGGAACTTTTGGGAGATAGAAAAAGAAAAATGAGACCTTGAGTACAAAATGGGGACACGGAACCTCAATTGATATTTTTTTTTTTTTTGTAACTTGGGGATTGGAGGAATGTGTATGGTTCTGAGAAGTAAATTTGTGACACTTCCTGAAAACTTCCACTTGGCAATCTGGTAAATAAACTTATTAAGGAATTAATGTATCATTGTTATACTGCTTTGCTGATTATGATAAAAAATAAAATTCTCTAATGTCTTAGTCAAATTATTCTATTATGATAGAATTTTATTGTCATGTTTTTGGAACTCTATGGGTGAGGGCTTAGGTACTTTGGTACATAATACTATCTGTACCAGCTGTGATTGTGGGGGTTCAACTTGTGATGTGAACATCTTTTAACCATCCAGGTTTCAAGTTTAAAACTGGGATAGACCCAGGCAAACTGTGACAATGTGATCTCCCTAAATTTAGTGGCCACAAAGGCTAATCCACAGAAAAAGATAATTAGGATTTGATTTAAAGTTTATGAAAGGAACTTGTTTTGCTTAAAAAAGACTCTTGTTTACTAGTGTTAGTATATGAAAAGGCATAGGTTTCTTTGCAGGATTTAAATGTACTTTTGAAAATTCAGGTACCACTGATTCTTGAGGTGTAGGCTGTTTTATTTTGGTTGACATTTGAATGAATACCCATTTGCTAGCACTATGCAGGTGGCTTTATATAACTAATAAATTTTCTTCAGCAATCTGAGGTAAATCATTCCAGTTAAGGAAACTAAAACTCAAGGGATTTAAGCGATTTCTAAAGGTCACATAGCTGGTAGATAGCAAAGGTAGATTTGGGACCCAGGACTCCTGGTTCTCAATCTCTAGTAGTTTTTCATCAGAGTTAATCATAGGAATGTAAACTGAATCCTAATTAATATGGTAAGATCTAGAAGGGAAGATCATGCCTGCTGGTCTTTTAGACATACAAACCACTGGTGGTGGTTAAATGTAATGTTTACAGAGGGTCTGCTTTTGAAAATTCTGATGAACAGATATGAACCATTTAAGAAAATGTAGATATATGAACTTTTGAATGTAATTTCAGTGGCATTATAGATCAAATAATGAACTCCTATATTATTAGCAGAAGTTATAGTCAGTGTCTAGAATTATGCTGTTTGTCTCAACGCTGTTTTCATAAGCAGTGTGTAGGAATAGCTAGAGAAGGTAAAATAGCTTGATTTAGTGCAGATGATGTTTTTTTAATGCCTTATTTTTTTACTGTTTGTAAAAACTTTTTTGTTTTGTTTTGCTTGCCTCATGTTATGTTCCAATATTCTCAGACAACATAATTTAGTGTTATGCAATGATAGCAAGCATTATCTTATATATAACTTTTAATTAAATCCATATCCTTCAGGTAAAAAGAACATATTCTCACGGTACTTACAGAGCTGGCCCAATGCGACAGATCAGCTTGGTGGGAGCAGTTGATGAAGAAGTGGGAGATTACTTCCCTGAGTTCCTTGACATGTTGGAAGATTCACCATTTTTAAAAGTAAGAGAAAACAATAACAAGCATCTAAATTGTGGGTGTTACTTTCATGCTACATGTGACACAAATCATGGCTCTTTCAGAATTACAAAAATTTTGATTTCATTTGAATTGGAGGGAAGGAAAGGAAGAGATGAGAAACTAGAAGTAATTCTTGTGTCGGGTGTGTGTGTGACTTCTCAGGTGCTAATTATAATGACAAAGCTAAGTGGTAGACCAGAAAATAACACTTGCCTGTTGCTGCCACTTTAGGAAATTAAGTTCCATCTGTTTGTCAGCTTTTTATAAACTGAGTACTAGAAGATTTAAGAAGTACAGGAAGGATGCTTACTAAATTTAAGTGTTTAGGACAAGGGAATGGCAGTTTGGCATTGTGGAAAACTGGCCTGGGAGACTGTACATCTGTATTTCAACCTGGGCTACACCTAGCTGGGTTGGGCAAACCATATAAACTTGCTGGACTTTAGTTTCCTCATCCATAAAATAAGACATTTTGGACTGTGTAGCTTTAAGGCCCCTTTAAATTCTTTACGTAGTTTCTAGCCAGATTATTTTTTTTCCCCAACAGTCTGCATTCCAGAAAATATTTCTTCCTGTGGGCCTCTTGAGGCTATCCTATTGAGAGAGAAATCTCTGAGCTATGTAATTAGGTTAATTATTTAATCAATAATTTAAAGGTCAGAATGTGACAAGATCAGTTTATCTCCAATATTTGCCACATAACCTGTTGAACATCTCTTCTTTCTTTTTACTTCTGCTTGTGCAATTTTTTAATCTATATGTGTATATACATCTTTTTCTTGCCTTTTTTTTTTTTTTTTTTTTTTTACTCCATTCTATTCTCCTTTCATTTCCTTTTTTTTTTGTGTGTGAGGAAGATCAGCCCTGAGCTAACATCCGATGCCAATCCTCCTCTTTTTGCCAAGGAATATTGGCCCAGGGCTAACATCCGTGCCCATCTTCCTCTCCTTTATATGGAATGCCGCCACAGCATGGCTTGACAAGCAGTGCATCTGTGTGCACGTGGGATCCAAACCTGTGAACTCTGGGCCAGCGAAGCAGAGCACGCGCAGTTAACTGCTACACCACCAGGCCGGCCCCTCATTTCCTTTTTTATTCCTTTTAAACCTTTTCTATTTCTCCCAATGACATCATGGGAGATGGACATCTATTTATTTTGAGTGGTATTTTAAAAATACCATTATTTAAATATTTGTTTCAAATTTTAATTTTAATTTTAAAGGAAATGAGCTAAATGCATTCTTTCTGGAGAAATTTAATTTGACAATCCTCCCCTTTTGGAAAAGGGGGTATGGGGTTAATGTTTCTTTTTAAATACCATCTCGCCATTCCATCAACAAGGGCCCTTAGTCATTTCTCTTTCTCTGTCTCTTTTCTTCTCAAAGATTTTGATCTCTGCTTTTAGACCAGTGATGTCTTCAAGAAACTACTAAACAGAAATAAATTTTGATTTTGGTTTGGTTTTTCTTTTTGTTTTGTTAGGTTTTGTTTATAACTGATCAAAGAGGTATCCATTTTTTTTGAGGTTTCTATTTTTTTAAACTAAATTAATTGTTCATTTTATAGATTCTCGTGGAGAACACTTGCTTATTTGGCCAACTTATTAACATCATGTGACTCATATATTTGGTAGAAGGAAGAATAACAAATGATGAATACAGTGAATCATATCTCTGGCAGGGTTGGTGGGAGGGAGCCATCCAAGAATAATTATTCTCTTGGTGTGTTTGAAATAGAATTTTTTGAAGGAAAATGTATGAATATATAGGAATATAGTCAATATAGGTATGTATTTCAAATGTATAAGTATAAAGGTATATATGAATGTTTGTCTAGGGGGCAGTATTCTTAAATGTATATTTGAAGATACATTTTGAAAACAATTGATTTCTATGTATTTGCCTCTAGTGTACACTGCCATGGGGGACACTATCTAGTCTAAAATTAGAGAGTCGAAAAGATAGTGATGATGGTCCCATCATGTGGGTACGCCCAGGAGAACAAATGATCCCTGTGGCTGATATGCCAAAGTCACCTTTCAAAAGGAAAAGGTATGTTGGATACAAATTTTTGTTGCCAGGAATGGGTGTTTATATATTGGTGTGTGTGTGTGTGTGTGTGTGTGTGTGTTGAAAATTAGAGGAAGAAGGAGGGGAAACTTAAGAGCATCATTGGAATGTAAATTCAAAAATGGCTACACATGCTGATATAATTTTTTATAAAATATCAAATATAAATAAGACATGAGAAATGTAGGCAAACGACAGTAAATTGTAATTAGGAATGGAAAAAATGTCATTCACAACAGACATTATAAACTATTTTGGAATAAATTTAATAAGAAATATTAAGAACCCATATTAAGAAAACTAAAACATGGAGGATATAAAATAAGATCTAAACAAATGGAAAACCCTACTGTGTTCTGGTTTGGAAAAAATGATAGTCCTTTGAAATTTTTAGCATTCCAATTAGACTTACACTTTCAGCACTGGATAAAATGATTTTAAAGTTCATAAGGAAGAATAAATAAAGTCAGCAAATAGCCAAGAAAATATGAAAGAGATAAGTGAGGGGGATCTTGTGTTACTATATATTAAAAATGACTATAAAGCTCAAAAAGATCATTGAAATAGGATAGAGTACACATGGCCAGCATGACCAATGCTGGCCAAATTGGCAGTTTGTCTGAAAGAAAACAAAGCCATAGCCCTTATCTCATACAAGAAGTAAGTTATAGATTTAAACATAATAGATAAAAAATAAAAATATTAGAATAAAAATTTTAAGCCTAGGAGAGACCTTCCTAGTAAGCAAGATAAAAAAATATAATGGCGATACTATTTGCGAGAGAGAAGACGTCAACAGCGAAGTTCAAAACTATGATGGATTGGACTAAAACATTTGTAACATGTGACAAAGTTAATATACAAGGAGCATTCCCTAATTGACAAGAAAAATGTAAAACAACCCAATAGAAAAATAGGACTCAGGGAGTCAGGTGTATATTAAAAGAATTATGAGGTATTATTAGTACCCATTACATGGCAAAAATTATTAATAGAGCAATAATATTACAGCTGGTAGGTATGTGAGGAAACAGAGTCATTTATATATTGCTGCTGTAATCATCTTGTGAAAGTAATCTAGCAATAGCTTATAAAGTTTAATATATATATATTCTTTGATCCAGCACCCCTGCTTTTGGGAATCTGTCCCAAGAAATAAAAACACTAAAGGTAAATGTTTAAGAATGTTAACTGCAGCATTATTTGTAGTGAGAAAAAGGTTTAAAATGGTCTGAATGCCCATAAACAGGGGAATGGTTGAGTACGTTTTGGTACATTGCTATTAAAGAATATGGTGAAATAGTTAAAATAAATGAATTATGTATGTCTGTTGATCTGGAAGATATCCATGACACTTGAAAAGAGCAAAACGTAGAGTAATATGTCCAGGATGATTCTATTTTTATGAAAAGAAATTTAGAGAACATATGTATAAGTGTATATTTATGTGAGCACAGGAAAGTGTGGAAGAATGTATACTAGGTTAACATTGGTGGGAATGGAGTGGGTGATGCTGGGGGAGATAATACCCTTTTTTTAGATGCCTAAAGATGGTTTCACTCTTTACAGTGATTATTAATCAAAAAAGAAAAAAAAATAGGGAAAAATGGTCATTGTGTAAACTGTAGGTTGCACGAGGGTGGGAACTATGTTGTAGGTGTTGCTAATATGTCTCTAGCACCTAAATAGAGTGCCTGGTCATTAATAAATATTTATTACTTGAATGAAATCTTTACCAGTTAATGTATAAATTAGTAGTAAATGGTAAAATTGATGTGTTTCTCAGTGGTTCTTAGATTTATAAATCATTTTGAGAATCTGAAAGCCTCTCCCCAGAACAATACAGATATACACAAACTTTTACATTTAAGAGAGTTCACTAGCCCCTTGAGGAACTTGCCTGTACCTCAGGGATTACGATCCGTGATATATGTGATGATTTCACATCACATTGTAGTCTGACCAACTCATAACAACACTGCCCCAGGCACTGTGCTAAATGCTTTATATGAAGTGTTAATTCATTAGAATGTGGTGTTAATGTGACCAGACTTGTGGGCTTGAAAGCCTGTTAGCTTTCCACAAGAAGCAGCAGCACTATCTAACTTTCTGTAGAACCTTAACCTATAGAACATTAATCACAAAGAGCAAAAGAGTATGTGATAGCATCATCATTGTGTGTGTGTAAGTGTGTAATAAGACTGTAATGCAGGAGTGCACAAAGAGCAGTAAGTAGTAGAGATTGAGGGTGGGAAGTTAGAGAACTAATAAGAGTGACCCTAGGGGATAGACAAGGATGAGAGGAGAAAATTATCAGGGCAATCCTGATTTATCTCTGAAAGCAACAGGAAAACCATACAGGAAGATAAATGAGTTGAGGACTCCCATGGAGTCATTCTCACCCTTTTCCCCTTCTACAGCAAAATTGGAGAAGGTTTCTGCAATGAGTGAGGCTAAGTAGTCAGCAGCTTCAGTATGCATATGGATTCTAGAAAGGTGAGCAGTGGAGGAGAGGGCCAGTGGGAGATGGCTGTCTTCCAAGATGGAGCTAAGGTTTTCCTTTGTACCTCCAATAAACCATGCATGTTTCGTGGAAACACATTGCCTGGTGTTTTCTTGCTATTTATTTTTTTGTCTTTCTCTGTCTAGATTATAAACTCCCACAAGAGTATGGAACTTGTGTGTCTTATTCACTAGCTCCAGTGCCTAGATAGTACCTGGCATATAGTAGGTTTTCTGTAAATATTAAATTAATGCATTTAAAAAAGTTACCTGTTTGTTCCAGATATATACCTTGTGTTAGCCATGTGACCTGAGTTGGGGGCATGGTTCCACAAATTAGACCCAAACCTCAAGGTAGATTTTACGTACAGGGAAACCTGGGTAAACCACACCATCTGTAATTTAGTTTTTTTATCCAAGTATATATTGCCTTGCAAATGCCACTTTTGTGAAGGGTGTGTTAGAAAAAGGAGGGGATTATATATGTGTTTTGTTTATACTTGTTCATTTTAAAAATAGAACTTGGTTTGGGAGCAGGTGATTTAAAATTTCCTTTCATCTGAATTATGTGATTAATAAATGCTTGATGGCAGTTAAGCCTCAGTATATCAATACAAATGTTTGAAGGCAGTTAAGCCTTAATACATAAGCCTGCCCCTCTCTCCCTCCCTCTCTCTCTCTCCCTCCCTCCCTCCCCCCCCTACACATACATATACATATATATATGCGTGTGTGTATTTTTTTTAAACAGGACTACCAATGAAATAAAAAACCTGCAGTACCTACCTCGAACTAGTGAGCCCCGTGAGATGCTCTTTGAAGACAGGACAAGAGCCCATGCAGATCATATAGGACAAGGTTTTGAACGACAGACTACAGCTGCTGTTGGAGTGTTGAAGGCTGTGCACTGTGGAGAATGGTATATATTAACTACTGCTATTGTCATGAAAGGTTTTCTTTTTTTTTTTCTTTTTTGTGAAGAGATCAGCCCTGAGCTAACATCTGCCAATACTCCTTTTTTTTTTGCTGAGGAAGACTGGCCCTGGGCTAACATCCGTGCCCATCTTCCTCCACTTTATATGGGACGCCGCCACAGCATGGCTTGCCAAGCAGTGCGTCGGTGCCCACCCGGGATCCGAACCAGCGAGCCCCAGGCCACCACAGCAGAGCACGTGCACTTAACTGCTTGTGCCATGGGCTGGCCCCCGTGAACAGTTTTCTTGGCTTCTAAAGTTTTTCTTGGGAAGTTTCTCAGTAATTCTTTGTGTGGGAAAAAAGTTTCATTTTTCCGTGTATTTGGATGTCCTAATCATAATAATTACACTAAAAAAGATTTTCAGTTGCTACAACCTAGTTTTTGTCTTTTGGGTTTGACTGAAATAATTTCATTTTCTAAATGACTAGAGGTGAAAACAACTGTCATATCTGAGGTAAAAGAAAAACTAAGGTTCAGTTGGTGCTTACTGTATGCCCATTTACACATGTTCATTTAATTTTCTCAACTACTATTAAGCCCATATTTATCACACAAAGAAACTGAGGCTCAGGGCTGTCAAATAATGTTATCATAGTTATACAGTTAATAAGTGGTAGAGCTGAGTCTGATTTCAGATAGTCTGACTCCAGACTCCTATGTTTTCTCTTATACTGTTCTACCTTACTGCTCCCTTTCTAAGTCTACTAAGAAAGACTTTTTTTACCTTACTCTATTAATTTTTTCCAGCTTTGCTTCC